GAGCGGCGGTGGTTGGCGGGCGGAGCACACGAGGCCAGGCCACGGGCGACCGACGCCGACGTGCCGGCACAACAGCAACGTCCAACGACCGCAGCCCGTCCCCCGTGCCCGTGGGCTCGCAACGTTTCCCCCCTCGGCATAAATGCTTGCACGGCTGGACAATCATTTCCTTTCCTGCAGCAGTACAGTTACGATTTCATTCATGTGCCGACGACGGAGGATCGTTTGAATCCCCCTCAAACCCCGGCCGGGTTTTCAAATTTCGAAACCTCCCCGGCCGCCCGACCCGCACGCCATCGCCCGGGTCCCACGCTCCCCGGCCCACCGAACGCCCGATGACAGGCGGGCCCGGGGGCGCGGTGGTACTACCAAAGTCCAAACAGGGGGAAACGAATTTTCGTGTAGATTTCGCTCGGTGCACTCGAGGCTCGTTCGCCTTGCCATTCCCGTTCGTTATCTGGCCCGGTAGTGCTCTGCTGCGACCGTCTTCGCTGGGGATTAGCGGCGGCAGCTCGGAAACCCTAGCCGCTGGGCTCGCCTGCGGCGATGGCGGCGACTGCGTTCCGGTCGGCGGCGAGGAGGGACGCGTTCGGGGCCGCGGAGGGCGACGGCGGCGGCGGGCCCGCAGCGCGCGGCCGGACGCCGGACGGCGCGGGCGGCGGGGGCAGCCTCCGCCGGTCGAGGAGCCTGAGCCGGTTCCCGCCGCCGTCGCCGTCCCCGGAGGACGCGCCGACGCCCTCCTCGAGGTTCGTGACCAAGGTGCGGGGCGGAGGGCCGTCGGGCGGCTTTCCGGAGATCAGCCTCGACGACCTGGCCGACGAGTTCTTCCGGGCCAGGGTGGAGTCCGAGGACGACGACGAGGAGGTGGTGGTGCAGCGCGGGGAGGACGACTCGCGCGGGCGGCTCAGGTTCCCGGCGCCCGCGGAGAAGGGCCGCGGCGGCCGGCGGAGCTCCACCGCGCGGTACGCCAGGGAGACGGCGTCGTCCAGGCAGCGCGAGCGCTCGGTGTCGCGGCCCCCGCCCGAGCGGCGGGGCGGAGCCGCGGCGGCTGAAAATGGTGCCGCCGCCGCCAGGAGGCAGAGATATGCCTCGGTGGACCGGCGTGCCTCCATTGGCCGGCAACGGTATGCCTCGGTGGACCGCCGTGCCTCCACGGACCGGCAGCGGTGGTGTGAATCGGATGTAAGTTCCAGTAGCATTTCCAGTTTGAATCTACTGTATTTCTTAACCCAAAATAGCAATCTCATTTAAGTTTTTTTATCTGAGTCTATTTGATGTTTGAATTTACCAGTGTTATTAATTTCGTACCCAAGTCTACTTGACCAGATTGAATAAATGAGATGGAGTATGTAGACGCTGTATCAGATACACTAGGAATAAACACTGATATTTCGTATTTCGAAATAATGGTTAAGTATTTCTGCCATTATTTTGTGTTTCTTCGTGCATTGTTTGCATTTAACATTCACATGCCTTGCTGTTTTTTCTTTGGTATTATTTGTGGTCTTGTTTAAGTCTATTTATGGACGATCTGAAATTAATATTAGATTTTAGGAAGCAGGGAATTGTGTTATAGAACAGATGTACGTTGCCAATTGTATGTCTGACAATAGGATGTTTTCCTTGGAAATAAGACAGTTTATTACTTCGAATTCAACAGCAGAATTCCTATACAATGTCAATTCTTCTTGTAACAAAACAAATGACTGGAATCACTGTGAAGTCACTCTGTTTGATCCTCTGCTCCTTCACACGCAGATAAACATAATGCCATTGATAGCTTGAAATTAAGTATATATTTTTCAAGTAGTGCAGGAGCTCTGCCTTTTCATTGGTAGAATGAAATTAAGAATGCCCTGATGTTATCTATGAGTTTTGGATACATGAGTTCAAAAACTAGGCTATTACTCTGCTTTATTACTTCCAATGTGCCTTTTAATTTTAACTCACTTCTAGTGGGATTTGTTTAATTTTCGTCAAAGTATGTAATCACCCGATTCCTTATTTTTCCTTTTGATCCTGCACTTTGTTGTTCCCATTATCACCTTCCGGTTTATTCTACTTGAACAACCTAGAATACTTAACCTGTATTCCTGCACTTCATTGCATCTAGTATGTTTAATGCTGCTTCTAATTTTCTTTTCCATTTCTGGTTGCAGAATGATATGGACTTTTCTCGCCGGTCTGGTTCTAGGGGGACAAATACTAAATGTAGCAGTGGCCATAGTCTGCAGAATTCACTTAATAAATCTAAAGTGAATCAAACTCTGACAAGGTCTACAAGTCAAAATGATTTTGTACATTTACGAGACAGCGGCTCGGTTAGTACCTCTCATCTTGTATTTTCTGTGCTGCTAGAAACTATCCATCACTGATAAGGCCCTTGCTATTTCTGGATGTGAAAATTGAACCATCTATATGAAAAGTTGTAATATAGCTGTTGCACAGCGCAGTTATTTTCTGTTTGTAACATGGTGTGTAATAGTTCTATTTGTGGTGCTTTTTTGGGGGTAGAAAATTTGTGCTGTCCCGTTTCTTGGTGCATAATAACATTGACACTGTCATGTGTTGTGGGCACAATTTATTTCTTTTTGTGGTTGAAATTCGACATTGAATATCTTCGTGCTGATTTTCGCAGAGCCATTCTTCGTTAACTGATGATGAATCTAGGAATGCTCATTCTTTTCATAGCAGAAGTCACAGTGGAAATCGGGCTGTTTATTCCCAGGAGAAGGTTGATTTCACAATATTAATTCAAATTCCCACAACTAGAGTTTTTGGAATACCTAGCATTTAATAGATATATGTGTTTTATGTTATTGTTGGAGCAGCCAATTGAAGATAATGATTCAAATGTGCTGTATGATGTGATGCGTAAAGAAGTGAGGCAAGCTGTTGAAGAAATCAGAACTCAGCTTGAAAAGGTACCTTTTGACATGTTAACTTTTCTAGAAACCTTTGTTTATTTACTAGAGTTTGATTGTTACAATGAAAGGGGATCAATTCAAGGTGCAACAGCGGCCCCTCCACTCCACCTATTAAAGAATTTTCAAATATTTCACATTAGTGCTACCATGTTGAGCAATGATGATGTTACTGGTTGATGGCCAGGATTACATTGGTTATGCTCAGGTGGCAGGACAATGAAATATCATCAAAATTGTCTTCGTTTCCACTTGGTTGTAGTGCTTTGAGATATGACTGAAGAGAATAGGGTTACAACATGCTTATGTTGCTATACTGACTTCTCAAGATCATCAGTAAAAGTGTAAAAAGATCATTAGTAAACCTGCTTAGTGGTTCTGAACAAACATGTTTGAGTACTTAGTCGAAGGACATGGTATTGGCTTGTTGTTTAATATGTAAACATGTATGATCTTGATTCCTGAAGTCTATATCCTAGAACTGAAAATGTCATTTTTTCTACTGAGAAATAAGCAGAAAACTTAACAAAAAGTTGAAACAACACAGACTAACTAATGACATTGATGCGCAAACCTCAAAAGCATCTCTTTTGATCATTATGAACTTTAGTCTAATCTGTGTGTACTACTAGTGATCTAAAAGGTCTTATATTTCTTTACAGAGGGAGTACAATTTAGAGCTGGATTCGAAAAAGTTTAACTGTTGAATAGTCATCACTCATGCCTTCTGTTTTGCCCACACTGAAAGCTCTTATCTTGCTCATTTTCTGCCTACAGTAATGCTATTCAGTGTTACTCATACACTCTAAATTATACGATTCAGTAACACCAATTATTTTTTCTTTGACCATACATTGTCCAGGCCGTGACAAACTCTGAACCTTCAGAAAAGGCTAGAAGTGATGATGCGCAACCAACCCAGGTTATTGGTGAACTCCGTAGGAACTACACTAGCAAGTTGGAAGAGGTATGATTTGATGGAATCCAGAAGTTTTTCCTTTATGTGTTTAGGCTCAATTCTTTCAATGTCTTGCAGTCAGAGAAGAGGAAGCAGGAATTACTAGCTCAATTGGCGGCAGAAGAACAACGTGGTCATGAACTCACAAAAATAGTTAAAGAATTACTGCCTACTACTAAGAAGAATGTTAAACCGGAGAGGCCGCCACCACGCAGAAGAGTAAGCGTTCTTGGTCGTTTGCTGTGTACTCCCTTCTATTATTGAGAATCTACAATTCAATTTTTCATGTATATTTGTTTCAGAGGAGCAATGATAGAGCAAGGATGTCGAAATGCCTTACCAAAGAGGCCGAGCTATACTTTGAAGATTTCCTGTCAAATGTTGAAGATACTGATTTTTCATCGTTTGATGGTGAAAGAAGTGACACGAGTTCAACTAGACGAGATGTGGTACTTCGTGCTATGGCGGAAACTCATGTAGTCCTTCCAAAAGTTGCACCACCTGTTGTGTCAGACGGTGTTGTCCTTCCCTGGTTGCAATGGGAAACTAGCAACGATCTACATGCCTCCCCAACCACAATCAAGACACAGGTAACAATGGCCTAAACTACTTGTGGAAATAGTAAATCAATCCATCATTTCTACTCCCTCTGTAAACTAATATAAGAGCGTTTAGATTACTAAAGTAGTGATCTAAACACTCTTATATTAGTTTACAGAGGGAGTACTATGTTGCACCGCTTGTCTAGTTTTCAACAATTCATTTTGCACAAGGAAATGGAAAACCTAATATTTATCTTGTTCTAAAATAGACCTTCAGATAACAGTCCATTGGTTTGTACTATGCAAATGTACAAGCTTATATTAATCTTGTCCTGTATGCTATAGCATACAATCTTGTTTCAAGTCCCTGACGGGCCATTCCTTTCAGGACGCAAGCACTGCATGCAGCACCAGCAGTCACACCATGAGCAGCCGTGGGAGCTGGAGCCCTGGAGACCATGATAGCTCAGCTGGCTCCAAAGATGGACTACTCTCCAGGTTCGATGAGGCCGCGACTCGCCTAAGCAGCTGCCCCGATAATAAGCGAGGCACATCGTTCCATATGGACGACTATCTGCATCTGTGGAGGAGCGAGGATTTCCTCTTCGAGCGATTGAGTCAGAAGCAAAGAATCGACTATGGCGGTCTAACCGTATGCAGGAGGTCGACAATAATGTAGATTATTATGGCATAGGATTCTCCTGCTGGGTTCAGGCGGCGAACATATGTAGTGTGCCCAATTGATTAATTGATTGATTGGGTTAAGTTAGGCTAATAAGTGTGTAGATTTAGGGCCTGTTTAGTTGGGAGCTAACTTTGGCATAGTTGTGCTTTTTCTTTCAGAAATTGAACACCCTTCGGCTTGGTTAATACTCCCTCCTTTCCTAAATGTAAGTCTTTGTAGAGATTCCACTATAAATCACATATGGATGTATATAGATGCATTTTAAGTTTAGATTCATTCATTTTGTTCCGTATGTAGTCCACGTAGTGGAATCTCTACAAAGACTTATATTTAGGAACGGAGGAAGTAGAACCCTGTCACAGCTTTTGAGTGAAAGATGCATGAGGCATGGTTGTAAAAAAGGAAATATCTTGCCTAATGTATGGCTGGAACCAAACATTCACCTAAGTTGGTCAAATTTGTTTACTTGTGTTTGTATCTTTGTCTACTCCGAGGAAAGGGAAC